AAAATATCGTGTATGCGTATGTTCCATGAAATGAGCTTCAATAGCTTGCCTAGTCTAACCGATATATTATTTTGCAGTTCCCACAGCTTATTTCATATATCTCCGACTTTTCATTCTGAAATATCTTGTATATGAAATTACCTAACATTAGTGGGAGTGACCAAGAAGATTTTAAGGCTATTTCCACATTCAACTTTTTGAAAAACGCGATGTAATACGTTGGTTTGTACGGAACAACAATGAACTTTGAATCAACGTCTTTTTGAAAAATTCCACGAAAATTTACCCTAAATGTACGTTTCCTTATGAACTTATCTACAAAATGCCTTGATTGGAAAACAATATTCCGATTTATAAAAAAAAAAACACTTCCTCAGGACTAATAACGCTGACAATTGCTAAATCCACAATTCCCAACGACGATTTAATTATTGCAATGACCCGAAATGAAATTCGAAACCTTCTGTGACCTTCTGTGACATTGAACGCGAAAACTGCAGGAAATAAATAATATTCTTACGAATAATGTGATATGCGATGAACGAATGAAATGGAACATTGAACTGAGAAATTTCAATCAAATCATCAATTAATAATTTCCAAATTTATTATAACAATTATTGATTTGAAAATGAGAGAGAACTTCAAATCAAATTCCTAGATTGATATTTTTCCATTCTTGGCACTATTATGGAATTCAATCTCTAGATTAACCAATAAAATTTCAGCTAGAAAAAAGGCTTGAAAGTTCAACATTCACCCGTCGATACTGAAAATTAAAGTAAAGTTCCATTGTCTAATGTGATTCCACTACGATTCGAAATCTATGAAAGAACAAATAAAATAAGAATGAATAGCTAAAATATGAGTTAATAAAAATTGAAATGAAAATATTGTGACAAATTAAAGTCTTTAACTGTCTTAAACAAATTTATTTCCAGCAATATTTCACTAATCACAAACTAATTTATTTACAACACTTAGCAACTAACGCTTAATTTATTTCCACTATTTGAATTTCTTGTTTAGCCGCTCGACTCACTTTCTGAACTCCTTATTGGGTCAGGAAGCAGGGCTTATATAGAGTGACGGTCCTTTCTAGAAATCTGTAGTCGGTTCGATACTAGGCTAGAATTTTACCGGCGGTTGCCGACTGCATTCTTTCGCGGTGATGTCATGTAGTCTAGCTCACATGTACTTTTTTTTGTAACATTTTTCAGCCCTGTCCAAAAATTACGACCAAGGTGTCATTCGATTCGCATTTTTGCCTAGAAAGTTCAAGGTAAGGTCCAAAAACGCGCCGATAAAAATTACAAAAATTATAAATAATTAAGCGAAAACAAAAATGGGGCTTTAGTTTTTTCTTAATATCTCGGAAAATTTTCAAAATTTTGGAAATTTGAAAAAAGATTTGAAAAGATCAATGAATTCGCGTAAAAAAAAGTCCAGACTCCCGAAACTGTATCTCGAATGACACCTTGGTCGTAATTTTTGAACAGGGCTGAAAAATGTTACAAAAAAAGTACTTGTGAACTAGACTTAAGGTTTTGCTCACTGTTTTTACCGATTACCGTGACGTAGGGCATTAGTTCTTGCTCATGGCCGTACGGTCTCGTCGCTTACGAGGCACAATACGAAGAAAACGTTCGATATTGTGGAAAAACAATTAATCGCTTTTGCATCACAATAATACTTATGCTCACTCGTCATTGTTTGTTCGTGATTTTTTGGCCACAGTAATCATGCCTCAGCCACCGTATTCAGCAGAAATGGCCCCCTGCGGCTTTATCTCGTTTCCAAGATTGTAGAAACCCACGAAAGAACGGCGTTTTGCGACGATTATTTTTTGAACAGACCTCGTATATCAAACATAACGTATGAAAAAAAAAATACGGAAAAATTATCATCGTGATCTACTGAATGAACTGATCAAAAAGAAGGCCATCTTTTGTTTTTTTTTTCAACCCTTCATTTGCCTTGACTGAAGTTCCAAACTAACTGGATCAAAGCCTGTCTCGTCGACAGACTATAAAAATATTCCAAGCAGCCTCTTTCCTCATCTGTTCCGTTCGAGCATAATGATGTTAAACTTGGTGTGTATAACTTTGAAGTCTTTTGCACATAACTCAGTGAATAAGCAACACGAGAGCAGATGTTTCGAAAACAAATGAGTCGAGACAAAGATTTGTGTGCATTAAAGAGCAGGTAATGCGGTGTGAAACTCCAAAACAGTTACTTCGCAGATGCCGTGTTTCTCTTCCCTGCCGCACAGGTAACCGGAAAGTGGGTTCCTAGTATTACGAGGGTGGTCTGAAAAGTTTCCAAACTAACAAAGATATTTTTTTCTGACTGATTCGGCCGTTACTTGATTAAGATCCATAGTAATTGTGAAAAAAATAAAATACATTCTTTCCATTTTTTTTTAATTCTTCACTCGTGATTTTTCTCTACAAAATAATTGTTCACGAAGGAAATTGCCTCTTCATTCGACAAAAATCTCTGTTCTCCGATCGTAATTTTTGAATGAGGAAACAAAAAGAAGTCGCTTGGAGCTAGATCTGGTGAGTGAGGCGGATGGTCAAGCAGTTCAAACTGTAATTCGTGAATTTTTGCCATGGCACCTTTGAGATGTGAGACGATGCGTTGTATTGATGAAACAGGGTTTTTTCCCGCAAATATGGCCGTTTTTCCGCAAGTTCTGCCTTCAGCTTGTCAAATAATGTTGCCTGGTATGCTCCCGTAACGGTTTTTAATTTTTAAAAATAATCGGTTAAAATAACATCATGACCATCCCAAAAAACACTCGCCATCACTTTTCCAGCTGAAAAAAGAGTTTTTGCTTTTTTTTGGAGCCGATTCTCCCTTTGCAGTCCATTGTTCGGACTGTATTTTTGTTTCAAGCTTATAGTGATGTATTCAAGTTATAGTAGTTAATAGGCGGCAAAACTGGGATTTATTGCGCCTAAACTGCGCCAACAGAACGTTGGAAATGTTCATTCGAACACGTTCTTGCTGTAACGTGTCTTCTTTTGAAATTAATTGCTTCCTTCCTTTCTTTGTAAGATTCTCACATTTTTTTGCATCAATATGGAGTTAGGTTAGGTAAGGTGTGAAGTGAGTGGGTCTATTCGACCCTCCACCGCAACCCGCAAGGGTTTATTGTGGCTAACCAAGCTTCTTAACGAAGCCGATTAGTTTGTATGGTGATTAGTCTTTCAGGTCGTATGGAAGAGTACGGCTCTACCGGACTCTAAAAACCTGATTCGGTCCCCAGCGGGGCAGGCACAAAGTATGTGCTCTGCTGTTCCATCATTTTCCAAACAGAGGCGACACACACTGTCTTTCGACAGTCCGAGTCTCTGCATATGATGGTTCAAATGACAGTGACCTGTAAGAAGGACTGTTAGACATCGTAGTTTATCCTTACTGTAGTCCAACAACTGTTTCGAAGGGTGAATAAACGCCTTGGAGTGTGCCAATCCTGGAAGATTCTGCCAGAAGTCCATAAATCTTCTTGCCATCCAGATGTTCAATCTTTGTTTGGCGAAGCCTAAAGTGATGTCAATGACAGGTTTTTGTACGATGAAGCTGCTTACAGCACTCTCCTCTGCAAGATGGAGTAGTAAAAAGCCTAAAACTTTCTTTCCCCCAGCTTTTAAAGGCGTTTCTTCCTTTTTTTAAAAAAGCGCAGCCACTTAATGCGTGCAGAAACAAAATGTGTTTTTTTTTAACGAGGGTACGTATCAAAATTTATGGAAGAGCATATTTTTTTACATCTCCTTTGCCGATTCTTTCAGAGAAAATTTCTTGTTGATGAGATAATGTAACCCCAACTGAAATAACAAGCAAATCAATATCTTTGATTATTTAATTGCTGTTAAATAATGAGTACATCCGCATCATCTCTGGTCTAGTATCAAGGCTTTGGAGTCTGATAAAAGAGACTAAGCTAGACAATGAGCTCTAACAACCAAGGAGCAACAATAGATCTGAATAGGTGGCAGTGAGTCAAGCCATGACCTAGCTCCCCGACAATATAATTTAATCATCTCTGGCCTGTTTGGTAATAATACTCACAGCTTGTAATTATTCAATTGTCATTTATCAATTTGTATTTGGTATGATTAATAAACTTTATTGTTTTTTTTTTTCTATTTTTGACTGGGACTACAGGATGCTCTAGCGGAATTTAATCCTCTACAATATAAATAACGAAAAACCCATAGGAAACGGGATATTTGCAAAAAATGTGCAAAAAATCGATTTTTGTCATCTTTGACCTTAGACTTTAACAGTCGCGTACATCCTACCATATGAAGGTTTAAAGATAACTTTAAGGATGTCGGATACTAGTTTATACGAGTTTATAGCTGGGTATATTCCGAGATACTCACCTTATCGTGGCCCGTTGAAATTCCTCAACATATTAGAAATTATGATGAATTGAAATGAAAAAAAAAACACGTCGTGTGGCCTCCAATATGTCCAGATTTGATTATCTTGATTTTTTTTCAATGTGTCATTCGAAGCCTGAAGCTTGCAAAAACAACCAGCCTCAAGAATGGGAAAACAAGTTTCATAATTGTTTAGAGTATAACAAAAATTGTTTTAGCATCAACTGTGGATTCAAAAAAAGCTTGCATGTTGGGCGGGAGATGTGACAGTTGAGTGAGAGCAAGGCTGGCTCATGTCTTATAAGTTCCCCGACTCTGTCTCTAAGGGGTACTTCCACTGGAAACTTTTAATTAAACATGGTCTACGCAACTTTTTATACGTTTAGCTGCATTTAGCTGTTGACACAGCGATGAAGAATTCAGAACAGATAAGGTTACTGTTAAAACGAATTTATTATTTGTTTATAAAATCATAACTACTCATCACCACAGGTTATTTATATTGTGACAGAGATTTACGGTAAATAAACAACTGGTTTTTCGTTTCAGGTCGTTATATTATTAGATAAGGTAACATCCTCAAGTAACCAAATTGAATGGATTTTTTATTCAGTTCTGCAATGATATTACAGGAGGTAACGACAAAAAAGATTACAGGTTAAATCCAGTCAAATATAGGAAGAGGTTTGAGAATTCTCCCTCAATCTCTCTCTGTCTCTCTCGCTCTCATAGTCTTCTAAGGAACCCACATAACTCAGAATAGTCATTCGATCATTGACTATGTATGTAGCAATTTAGATAATGATAAAATCCAGTGTTCGGTAGATTCACCTGGTTTCTCCGACCACGAGGCGGTTCATGTCACAATATTGATTGACTCAGTTATGAAAACTAGGAAATTCAAGTCAAGTTCAAAGACGACTCTTCAACTCTCGGAATTATGATAGATTCTACCACGGATGTCTTCATGCTGATTGGAATTTTATATTAGAAGTGCAAAATCAACCCCTTTCTGTTTTATATTCCCAAATAAAAAACATTTTTGATGAATCTTTTCCTTATCAAATAATTAAACTGAAAAAAAAGAAACACTGGATTACAAAGGGCATACAGGTTTCCGCAAGAAATATGAGATCACTTAATTATATAAAAAAATCACGGATAGTATATATTTTCATACCTATGTTAAAAATCACTTATAGAAAAGTAATTGAATGCTCAAAAAAGATCAACTATCAAAGCAGAATTTTGCCAGCAAGTAATAAATCAAAAGAGATATGGTCCATGATTAATGATTTTAGAGGAAAACAAAGGAAATATCAAGTTGATATACCAATAAACGCAAACATACTGAACAATTACTATTGCTCTATAGCAGAAAAATCAACAAAAAACATACTTCTCTTAATCCGTTGACTCATTTAGAGAATATATAGATCGCCGATAACTTTATTTTACTTCCTACTGATGCAAATGAGATTAAAGAAATACTTCAATCTTTTAAAAATAAAAAGGCCGCGGGAATAGACGAAATTTCAATTATCATTTTTGCTAACCTTCCTGATACCACATTAAATGCTCTAGCGTTCGTAATAAACTCATCCTTCAAGACCGAAACATTCCCTTCCTACCTAAAAAAAATTAATAGTTATCCCATTGCACAAAGGTGGTGATCTCAGTGATCCTTCAAACTTCCGTCCTATATGTCTGATTCCCACTCTAGGCAAGCTAATAGAGGAACTGGCTAAATTAGGATTGACAATTTTTTAAATAATAATAGTGTCATAAGCAACAACCAGTTCGGCTTTCAATCAAAAAAGAACACCCATGATGCTATCTTTTCTTTGTTATATGACGTTTATGGAAATATTGATGAAAAAGAGTCATCAGCAGCAGTGTTCTGAGACTTTTCTAAAGCCTTTGACTGTGTAGATCATGGAATACCGCTGAAAAAATTATATCACTATGGCATCCGTGGAATTACTCACAAGTGGTTCGAAAATTATCTCACAGGAAGAAGTCAGATTGTGAAAACCTCATCATTCTCATCAGAAGGCGAAATAAAACATGGCGTACCACAAGGTTCAATACTGGGACCGATACTTTTCCTGCTATACATAACCGATTTAGCATCTACCGTTATAAAAGGAAAATTCACCCTATTTGCTGATGACACCACAATATTGTGGCGTGATGAAACTTCATGTAATCTACACGAGAATATAAGTGCAGATATAAAAAAAATAAAAAAGTGCGGCTCCAATCTGCTGTCTTTCAATGTTTCCAAAACAAATTTAATATCATTCCGCTGCTTTATTGACAGCATTCCTTTACCAACACGATAATTCAAAACAGACCTAGTACTAAATTTTTGGGAGTAATAATTGACAATAAACTCAAAGTCGCCGATCACATTGTAACCCTCAATAAAAAGCTAGGCTTCAGGGTGTTTTGCAGTGAGAATAACATGTAAGGATCTTGGTTTGTCTGCCGCTAAATCGGCTTATTTCTCAGTTGTTGAGTTACATTTGAGGTATGGAATTCCTTTCTGGGGAGTATGTTGCAAAACTCAGATGTAGACGGTGTTCATCATTTAGAAAAGGACTATAAAGATTCATGTGTAATGCCAAAAGTCGAGACTCCTGCAAACCCCTACTTGAATTACACAAAATCTTGACAGTTTTTGGAATCTTTATTTTAGAAACAGTATGTTTGATTAACAAACATAAATTGATATTTAGCGGTTATTCCAATTATTATGCCCTTCGTCAATCCAACGACCTAAAATTACCCATACCAGCCTCTACTCTAGTCAAAGACTCTATATATTATAATGGTCTCAAGATGTTTAATCATTTGCCTGACCATATTAAAATTTTAGAGGATAGCTGTGTATTTTGAAAATCAGTAAAAGAATTATTATATGGTAGACCCTATTATAGTTTAGAAGAGTTCTATGAGGACCGCTTTCTCTAATTTATTTTATCAACTGTATTTTTTATTAAACAAAGGATGGTATACTGCATTTGAACATTTTAAACTTTTTTGGTATTTTTTATTGTATGATGTCTGTAATCAATTTTATGTGTTTGAGTATTTTAATATTATTTTTACCCTATATATGTATGTGTGTGTACAGATATGTATATGTGTATCCATGGACGTAGAAAAATACATAGCGCTCCTTATGGATCAATAATATATTGGGTGTTCCTTTTAAAATAAGGAAGATTCTGCAAATTTTTATTTACAATATCTGGCAAGCGGTTTTTCATACCCTGTATATCACAGGTCGACTTCAGATATATCGTTTGAGAGAGTTACCAATGTAGAATATTTGACAAAAAAAAATTCAATTGGACTTGGCACAACTTTATAATTTCAAATATTTTGAGTGACGAGTATTGGAAAAAAACCTGTCATGCTAGATATCTCGAAAACCGTCAAAATTTTCGAAGTGAAGATATACATAAAGTGTGTTTTATTTTCTATGTAGAAACCGAAAAAACGATAAAAAATATAGGTTGCCATTTGAAAAAACACAGTTGGGATCCGCCCAGAAAAAATTGAACACCCTGTGTGACCGGCGATATTTTTATTTTGTCAGGCTCGTGCAATGAGGTAATATTATAGAAATTTAGATTCCTAAATTGAGATATGGAACACCGCGCCACTGTTGCAGGAACCTGTATATACATATATGCTTATGTTAATGATGGCTGATGAAAATTTGTAGCTCTGTCAATAAGACCTAATGTTTTTTGGGTAATAAAGCATATTATTATTATTATTACATCTGGTGGGCGGGATCATAACGGAATTCAGAAACCTCTTCCTAAATTCGACAAGCTGTACGTACAGCGCCATCTGCCCGCGAACAGATCAAGCAACACTGTCGATATATCAAGAAGGTTACTTGCAGCGCCATCTGCCCAAGAATAGATCAAGCACTAATGTTGATATATGAAGGAGGTTATGTATAGCGCCATCTGCCCGCAAATTACTTCCCGCTTTGGAATTATTTCTATTTTGTGTGATTTTTTAATAAAGTACGTACCTTTTATCTTTATACTTTATTTAAACATTTGGGAAAATTATTGTCTTCTCTATATCAATCAAGGATACAGATATTTCACCTGATGTGTTTTGAAATTAGGCATACAATCCATATTTTGAGTTTATTGTAGAAAGGTACATTTCATATTACACTGATCACAATCTGTAATCCTTAAGGATTTTTACGCAGTTCGCATTATTACAGACGGCACGGCAAGAATCCTTCGAAACGTCTAATTGCTTTCCCAAAGCCCCATAACTCGGCGGACTAGACTTCATTGTCTGTTATTACTACCCAAATAGGACTTCCACTTAATTTGATTATTAGTAGGCTGATAAAGATTTTTCCAGATAATAGCCAGGTATCGGCAACGCATCCGTTCGTTTATCACGTAGTTCTGGCACGTGCCTACTTAGAAATGACGCAGTCCGGTAAACAAGGCCCGCGGGAAAGATAGGTAGCAGTGGCGTTCGATATGTGAAGAGACAATAGAAAATAATGAAGTGTGCTTGTTTATACAGTGCTTTTCTTCAATGCCCCCCCCCCTTTTATTTTTTGAACGGGTCAACTTGAAAAAATTGAAATTTAGGATAATGAAATTAATGCGTGAATACTTCATTTTGAAGTGAAATTGACAGATGAAACTTTCGGCGACTGGGCGGTATCTGGGAAAAAAATTGAATGGAAAGGGGGGGTCTTGTGACACATCATTTTGAAGCTCCTGACGAATACTTTACAACCCTAGAATTTAATGTCAATATATTCAACTACTACAAAATGGTGGAACTTTTAATAATCTGTCTGTTTAAAAAAATCTGTTTGAAATCTGTTTTTGAGAAAGAAGTTGAGAAAGTTGTGCGAGATGAAGACTAACGAGGTCTTACCTTTTAACGTGTGATTCCTAACACTGTATAATTGCCTGACATTTAACTACATAATATGAAGTAATAAGCTTGAGGTCAGTTCTGAAGATGCTCGACATAGTTGCTTTGAACTTCTTGACATATGAACAGCCTACTCGATATTTCACGCCGAACATTTTCGAACACAGTAACGTCAATATCTCTACAAATATCAATTATTATCTGTCGTATATCCAATATTGAAGCAGATTCAGTTTCGTACACCTTTTGCTTCAAATAGCCCCATAAAAAAGTCCAAAGGTGTCAAATCTGCCGAGCGGGCTGGCCATTCTGTAGGACGTCGACGGCCAATCCAATGACCGGGAAAATTACCAACCAAATAGTTTCTTACTAGTTTGGAGTAATGTGGTGGTGCTCCATCTTGTTGAAATACAATATTCATATTGAATTCATTAGGATTCGCTTCGACGATTTCAGTGATGAGAGGGTCAACAGTAGTTTCCAGCATATTCAAATACAGCTCCCCTGTTGAATTTTGATTATTAAATAGAGGTCCTACATCAAGGATGGCCAACTTGATTAGACATAAGATCTACTGTTTACTGACAAAACCCTGTGCGATCTACCACTTACATACTTCTTGAAATCCTAAATGAAACAGCATAGTGTTTAGTACACAATCATATAATATTTTTTATTGAACAGTCTTAAGAGTTCCTTTTCGTATCACATATGAGATTGTTTCCTTCAATTTACTTGATACTTTGGATTGGAAGTCTGAGTTGATGATGTTTAATCAACATTTATAGGTCCTATCTATATATTAGTATGAGCATGGCGTCACAGTATCTTCCACTAGTTTAGCATAATCTGGTTTGTAGTTGGAAATTGCCAACCTTAAAGAATCCAATGTATGAGCGTGTGTCAAGCGAGAACGGTGTTTATTTTTTGTTTGTTTCAAGTAGGAAAATGCTGACTCACGTAAATTTGTTGAACCAAAACACGAATGAAGTTGTTCAACACATTTCTTTAAATTTGGATATTTTTCGTTGGAAACCAATGCCCAGAAATCTTGACCTGAGGATGACCTTGCTTTTAGAAAACTGTCGCAGCGCAGAGTAATAATTTCGTTTTGTAACATCATGTGCTCCATT